TTTAAATTATTATTTTGTTTTCTAAAAATAGACTTTTCTCAATGAAAAGAAAAGAGCTTCCTTTTTTGCTAAAAAGAAGAAAAAATAATTAAGAGTAACCATGTAATTTGAAAAGGATTAGAGAAAGAGAAAAAGAAACTCTTCCTTTAGTTGTTCTGGAGTTACTGTTGATCTCAATCTCGAGTAAAGGAAAAGGGTTGGGCATGGGGTTAACAACTCCGTCCCGTAGAAAAGGATTGCTAAAAAAAGAACACTAATCAGTACGATTGATTTTGTTTCTAGATATGGGTTAAGGTTATTAACTCAAAACCATGTTTACTAATACATGAACTTGACCTGGAGCCATATTTGATGATTGTTGGTTTAGTGATACTGTAATGAATAAAAACTAAACATGGGGAGAACCAATTTTCCGTTTATCACAAAATCACACTTAGTGAAATATAGAAATCATGTTTTAAATACATCATTTTGCACATCTTCTTTGCGTTATCATTTACGTACTCCATTATTCCTTTAATTCTGTTGTTATTTTGATTATCCTCCAATTTCTTTCCTGTTATTTTTCACTTCAATCTTCTTCTGTTAGGCATTCGAATTCCGATTACTTTCTGTCAACATAAATAGCATACACCAAAATACTATTTGATTACTGAAATCATAGAAGATGGAGTGGGGTTTGAATCTGTTACTTTGTGACTTAAAACTGAGCACTTTAACCATTGATCTACTGGTTTACATGAAAACTTTATGAAGTTTATAGTAATAAATAGTATTTGTATCATTGAGAAACAATTTTTACATTTCCTAAATGAAGATCAACTTTATAGTATAATACATATTCAAACAACACATAATTTATATCATCATAGGCTGAATTTAGCTAGATACTTATTGAAAAACAGGTATTTCTTTGAATAGTCAAATCAACTCATGAAGTAATTGATTGATTGTACAATGCCATATAAGTAAATGAAGATGATCTAGTTGAAGTCTATGGGATTATCATAACTAATTGTTAAAGACTTTGAATGACACGATCACAATAAGTCAAAATAGTTTAGATGTTTTTTTAGCGAATTGGTTTTCTACGGGATGGGGCCGCTAACCCCATGTCCAACCCTCTTCCTTTATCCGGGCTTGGGACCGGTAGTAGCCCCCGGAGGGACTCCAGGCGGAGTTAGTTTAGATGTACACATTCTTTATGTTGTCTTAGACTTAAAGAATTTATCCTGTCTTTTCAAATCATATTGTCTTTATTTAATATTTTCTACTGTTAGCGAAATCGTTCATTGTCATGTCTACTGCCCTGTTATTTATCATGATATATTCATTAGACTATATTGATATGGTTTAATAATTTGTTGTATTAGGTACTATGTTACCTATAACTGTCTCCATATTACTTTTGAAGTTATGTTATTTTGAAAGCAGTTGGCTACAGACAAATCTGATGCAATAGCAATAATTATAACAATCTAATGATAAACAAATTTATTAAAAAATCAAGGTCAATCAATAAGATATATATATTCAATTGAAGAGTACAGTTTGTACCTATGAATTTAACCAATCAAAATTGACTCTAAAAAATATAATTTAATACTTGGATTCATGAGTCGATTAAGGCTAGACCACCTTTGAAAATCTGGAAGTACTAGACGGCCATTTGGTTCTAGTATGAGACTCCTCATCAATGCGTATTCACGATCCACCGCGCACTACTCGAACACAGGATCATCGGTCTCACACGCGAACACTTAACTAACCGACATCCAACGATGTTTATATTTAACTTCAACCAATTCACGATATTGCATGACTGTCCATTATTGTCTTCAGTGAGTAACTGCATCACAATAGACACAATGGAACTCCACCAGTCACAGCATCCCACTAGAACTCCACGGCGTACCTCTTGAAACCACTAATTAGTAAACACATAATGATTTGTGGAGATTGTAATAATTTATTAACTGAATTCATGAATCGACTAAAAAATTGGTTAATATTTATAAGTACCAGTTTGTTGATTTAAAATTTCGATAACCGCTAGTATACAAAAGAAATTGATTCAAAATGTATGTATATTTATTTAGGCTGAACAGAAATTCCTTGTCTTAACTCTCATAGGTTATTATATAATGTTTATTATTTCTTTGAACTATTATGTATGCTATATAGTAAATAAATGAATGTTCATTATACTTACTTACTTACGCCTGTTACTCCTCGTGAAGGACCATAGGCCACCCACCAGCACTCGCCATCCAACCCTGTCCTATGTAATCCTTTCCAGCTTCTTACCAGTTGTTATTCATCCTTTTCATATCTATTTCTATTTCCTGATGTATTTTATTCTTTCGCCTTCCTCTTTTCGGCTTCCCTTCAGGATTCCAAGTTAGGGCTTGCCTCGTGATGTAGTTTGATGATTTGCGTAATATACGTCCCATCCATTTCCATCGTCTCTTCCTAATTTCTTCTTCTGGAAGCTGATTTGTTCTCTCCCACAGAAGGCTATTGCTGATAGTATCCGGCCAATGGATGTTGAGTATCTTGCGTAGACAACCATTATAACTAATAGTAATAAAAACATTTGTGTATAATATCAGTTAAACATGAATCACTTATTGGATAACAAATATCTGATAATTCATAAGACCTGACTTGATTGAGATCATGAACCGGTTGATGTTAGACCACCGTTGAAAACCTGGAAGCACTGGATGGCTGTTTCATCCCACTGTGGGACTCCTCAGCAGATCTAAATTGACTCATGAATTCGATTATTACAGTTACTAAAATCTCCACGAGTCCCTTGTTCTGATACTAATCATTCATGTGTGCACTAGTGACCAGCTTCAAGATGGACTTTTTAAAGTTTTAATGAGAAGCCGTAACCTGTGGAGTCCAATCCGTGTCGGTTGGAAACAGTTATCCACCTCAGATAATAGATAAAGGGTTGGGCAAGATCACGGATTGATTGATGTAAAACATTAACACTAATGTATGACGGCCAGCTCAATGGTTTAAAGGTTAAGCATTCACGTGTGAGACCGAAGATCCTGGATTCGAGTCGTTTTGGTGTGTGATCATGGATGCACATTGATGTGGTTTTCAATGGTGGTCTAGCTTACATTGACTCATGAATTCAACTATTAAAATTAGTACAATTTCCACAAATCCCCATTTTGAGAATTCACAAAATGTTAGGTGTATTCCACAATCTCAATCACTATTAATTCATAATATAGAATACTAGGTGAAATTTTAAGTAAAACAGATTTATATAATCAAAACTTAATGTGATGCTTATTGTATTGATTAGTACTGAGATCTAAATCTACACTTTAACTTATGAACAATAGTGATGGATTAGCCTGTTGAACTTAACTTTAAAATTGAAAGAATTGTCTTCTTGGTAAATGATAGAAGTGTATCTGTACCTTTGATGTCATTTTCTCTCTACCAATATACACTTGTGAAAACTTCTTGTATAACCTTCTGAGTGGTTGGATAGAATTAGAAGGAACTCCTGGATCTAGGTTTATTGCTAATTGACACTTATTAATAAGGTATATTTTTATTCATAATTGATCGATCACTGAGTGGTGATCAATGACATGGGTGTCAGGTCATACTTAGTGCAGATCGAATGCTATCGACCAAGTTGCAATGTAGCCACTAGTCTAGGTGACTCAACATATATCTGTATTCTTCGGAAAACTGATGCTACCTATAAGATTTTAAACAACTTATCATTTGTTATCGTTGATAGAGATGTTATCACCGATCTATTTGAGTAGTAGCTGACTTTTATGTGAATGATGCGTTTGCACACAACCAATCAATCACTGCCTAATCATAAAGGTCAAATCAATATTGATTCTCCATGATTAATAGTGATATCCCAAATTAATAGATAAACTTCAATAAGGACAGTGTTATATTGATTATTGTCAAGTGATTGCTTATATTGCTTATATTTAAACCCTCTTACAACATGGTCTCATATAAACTCTCTACTATTTGGCGAATTTTGAATAGTGAAAATAGTATCAAATATTCTAAATACATCATCATACAACATTCCTGATCATTATTAACAGAATAGCTTTGCGATGATTATTCGAATTTCCCTTCACATTATGGACTAAATTAAACTAGATAGCCATTGACAATGGAGTAATGTTTGACATTTATTTCATTCTAGTACGGAAAACAAAAGCGTTTCAGAATTACGACTGATCTTTTTGATTCTAGAAGCTTATTAATTAGTATTGTTATTAAATTTAGGTCTTTAGCTATTAGATTATGAATGAACGTAATCAGTTTATATGTTAAATCACAGATTAGATAAAATGTAAGTTTAGATAGTGTACAACTTTTAAAGAATTTCTTTCAGATACCATCAGCAACAGCCTTCTCTGGGAGAGAACAAATCAGCTTCGAGCTAAAGAGGAAATTAGGAAAATATGTTGGAAGTGGATAGGAAATACATTACGGAAATCACCAAACTACATCACGAGGCAATCCCTAATTTGGAATCCTGAAGGGAAGCCGAAAAGAGGAAGGCCAAAGAATAAAATGTATTAGGAAATAGAAACAGATATGAAAAGGATGAATAACAACTGGAAAGAAGCTGGAAAGGATTACATAGGACAGGGTTGGATGGCGAGTGCTAAAGGGTGACCTATACTCCTTTACGAGGAGTAACAGGCGTAAGTAAGTAAGTAATTATAAATATTCCCTTATATAGACAAATCTACACTGAAACAAATTATTATCAGTTGAATGGTACAAAATTATTTCTATTCCAAGAAGTATATTAATATATTTACTTCGATTAACTATACTACAACAATGTATATATATTTATAGATGTAATGTTTGTATGTATATATGGTGAAATATTCTCACTTTTGCCTAGTAACCAATAAGAAACGAAATTACATATGCATATATATATATATATATATATATATATATACTTGTGTTGACCTGAATATAACCATAGTGACATACACAAATACTTTTGATAGTTACCAAATTATTCAATGATTGTAATAATGTTCTAATCACCTTATAAATAGTATATTACCGTAAACATCTATCGATATTCATTCAACTACATATGATCAAATGGTTTGTAAGTAGTATCAGTGACATTTACAATTAAATATTCATATTATATATATACATATAATTATGCAATCAACCGAAGGTATCATCGATCATTGTAAGATATGATGTCCTTTTTTTATGATTCTTACAATCTGATTGGTTCATACCACTATTCACTTTTCTTTCTTCTTCTAAAAATGCATTTACTAGATATTTATTCAATAATAATTCATTGTTTAATCAAAGTGTAACAATATTACACCGATCGAATGGATCAATATATATATATCCAAATATGATCAAATTAAATCAATAATGAAAGGTTACTAATTCGATTTGTTTGAACATCTAAGTGTTGCATAACAATCTAATATTGATAGAATATGGGAACTAATGTGAAGTTAATGGAAATCTGACTTATGTATAAATAGTTTATAAGTAGTATAGTTTAATATTAATCACTTTATTATTATTATTAATAATACTATTAATGGATGAACTTCAACGTCTTTATGAACATCAAACAATGATGGCCATCAGAATATATTCATTTTTAGATAATATATTAACTCATTTACCATCATCACGTACTAATAACAATAATGATATTGATATTGATACAGTTCATTCGTTGAATAATACACATAATTCTATGAATACTAATGATTATGTAAGTAGTATATTATCTAGACAAGTGAACATGGATCATCATCATCTTCATCAGCGGCACCAACAATATCCATATACTACTACTACTACCAATGTGATAGATGAGTTAAATACTTCTGTTGGAGATATATTTCCTAGAACATATGAAAATACACAAACATCATCATCATCATCAATAACATCAGTTTCATCAACATGGTTATCTAATCCACAAATTTATTCATCTACATTATATGATACGATTAATAATCATACAATAAATAATATTAGTAATAATAATGATAATGATTATAATGATTCAATAACAAAAGAGATTCAACCTGGAGGTTATTGTGATGAAATATTCATTTATTTATCGAATAGTGAAAGACAAGAATATTTGTGTACAATATGGTAAGTTATCAATGAAGAAAAGAAACAAAACTTAGTTACATAATGATACAAACTATGTTTTGGAATACTCTATGATCGTGCTATGGTTTAATGAAATCTTTGTATAATTTGAAACGTAATATTCTATCAATTTAGGAAGCAAATTTCATATGGCCTTATAATAATAGTAATAGTAATGATAATAGAATCATTACTGAATATAAAGAAACAAAAAGGTTAATTTATATAGATAAGATAGATTGCTGACTGATGACAATTTAGCATGGAAACCCTGATGGCTATACTAGTGTATTAATAATCTACTTGTGAAATTAAGTGCAGAGAGTGTTGAACATTAGATAGGTGGCCTGCTTGAGTATCTGGGCTATCTGTTTCTGTCATCTAGATATTTTAACAATTTATCTATTTTTGTTTGTTTTGATATATCATTTTGTCCATTAATCGCATAAACTATCCTGGTGCATTTCTGAAAAGTGTACAACTTTTCGTTGTCAAAGTTACAAAAAGCCCATTTAGAGACAATGTGGTTGCTGGCAATATACAACGGAAAGAATGCGCATTATTCAGATGTTTATTTACTGAACAGCTAACATCTAACTGGCGATCACTCAATATTTAACGTCAAGATCGACCAAGAAGAAAGAAACGGAAACTTGTTGAAATACTTTATGCTGAGAATTTTATATTGTACCAAAAATATAATATTGAGTAAAGCTTATAATAATAATAATAATAATAAAAACAGATTTAATGTGACTTTAAGTTGAATTTATGACATACCTATCATCTTATCTGAGATTAGTCAGACAGATGTACACGAATCTCAGAGTGTATGCTCAATCCAACATACGAATTAAGTATCTGTCACTACAAATACTAACATGTTATACATTAAGCTACTGAATACAGATTAACACTCACTTTTATACCAGGTATCAGTTTCGGTTTAATTTGTAAGGATTTGTAGCAAGCATCCCATTGTTGACATTCAATTTGGAACGTACATAAATTTAACTGATCGCCTCCATTTACACTCAATCTATTCTATGTAAACTTGATTCATAGTCACTGTATCGTGGTAATCCATACAGGATTTATATATGTCAACTAAGATTGATCAAATCTGATTTAAAATATCAACAACTGGATAATTCAAACTATTAAGGACTAAATTAAAACGATTGAATAGTTCTATAACTATTCTTTTATCGACTATCAATTCTTGTTTTATCTATGTCAGATCATTTTACACGGAATGGTCGTTAGTTTGATGACCAGGTTGTTTTTACATTTGATAGAGATTCATTCAACTGATGGCTAGTATTATTATTTGTACACTCTTTGACTCTTATATTTCAAATAATTCAATAACTAAATATATATTCTTACACTTAACCCTCAACTACTTACTTATGGTTATAGATTCTAACTAGAAAGTTCAGTGGATTTAAAGTGACCCTCTCTTGGTTATAAACTTGATTCTTTGTCCACCAAGCCCATTATCTTATCAGATGATTTTGTTCAAAATGTTTTTGATGATTGATTTAAGTAGATCTTCAAACTTTAAAGTGTTCTGCATAAATTTGATTTTATAACCTAATAGATGACAACTATTTTCCTTTATTTATCTATTATTTGGTTGTTAAGGTATACAAATAAAAGTGACTAAATCTATCCTACTAAATAAACTTTAAAATCCACCTAGTAACACAAAATGTTAGTGATACAAGTAATGATAAATCAATACAAGTAGTCAATAAGATTAAACTATCATTAGTGAATGATTCAAAAGACATTACATTATTTGACTAAAATATTCTCATGTTTCAGTATATTGTTTTCCTAATGAAAGATAATAGGATAACATTCATGAATACTGTGTCAATTGTGCTTTATTATGTAGTTATTTAAAAGTAGATCTATTAACTGTTATCGAAATCAGCATAGGTGGAAAAGGTAGAATTCCCTTATAGTCAAATAATAAATTTTGAGAAATCAATGTTATTATAGATAGTATTTTAATAATATAACCTCAGATCTATGCTCTATACTATCCCGAACTAATCACTTCAGTGAACATGGAGTTTATTTGTAATGTTTGTGTCCATATTCAATTACTTCAGTGCTTGTCACTTCTGATGGCAAATAAGAGTTTATTAGAATGATGGTTTGTAGAGATTGTAGTTAGTTTTTAATAGTTGACCACATGAGTGAGCCGTGATCAGTGGAGTTCAACCATGTCGATTGTGAGGCAGTTGCTCACTAAAGACAATGGAGGACAGTCGCGCAATATCGTGGATTGGTTGAAGTTAAACATGAACATCGTTGGATGCAGACCGGCACAATTGTCTAGATGTTAAGTGTTCGCATGTGAGACCCAAGGTCCTGAGTTCGAATAGCTTTGTTGAGAGTTCGTGGATGCGCACTGGCGAGAAGTCCCATACTAGAATAGAATGGTCGTCTAGTACTTCCATGTTTCCCATGGTGTTCTAGCTTTAATCGACTCATGAATTCAACTATTAAAATAGGAGTTTACAGTTCAAACAACCGCGATAAGAAAAAATCCTAATATATATATATATATATATATATATATATATATATATATATATATATTCGAGAGTTTACTCAGCCTCATTAATGAACTCAATTAGGGGGTAGTGATTTTTTATATCTTAATACCAAGAATGTTGTGGTTAATGTTGTGTTATGAGATGGTGGATAAGCTTTGTAGCTCAGGTGGGTTATTTTGATGGAGTTTTGTTCTCTGAGCTGGATGGTTTAATCGTGGAGCTTTCATCGTTCTTCTGGACGACATCGTCATCGTTCTTCTGGACGATGAAAGCTCCACGATTAAACCATCCAGCTCAGAGAACAAAACTCCATCAAAATGATGTGTTATATTATTATCACAATGACTGATTTTTGTTTTGTATTCTCACTTTCATAATTTAACCATTTTACTTCCTACGTGTTAATAACTAAACAAATTAATGTATTATTACATCGTATAAAATATGCATCTTATATTCTTCAATCGTCCAAGTTTGATAATGATATTTACACTTCCTACATACATACATACTTAAACCAGTTATTTGAGTGAGAAAACTAAGAATGAATAGGAAAATGTGATCGGTTAATCAAAACGAAAATCAACGAATAACTCATTTATTAATAAATGTCCATCTCTCTCAGATAATCAAATCAGATTTCTAACTAATATCATCTGTCTATTTTGTCATAGAGTTCAGCTTAATCTTGATAAATATCGTTCACCTGTCATTATCTTTCATTCGTTATTTGGCCTATGCTTGTTTGAATAAGTTTATCAGTAATATTGCATTTTAAATGAGCTGGCGTAGCTCATTTATTTACTCGAAATTGAGACCAAAGTTTTGTGTAAGAACAGGTTGATACTATTCAGTTCCCCTAAAAACTGTATAATGATGGAACAAATTTCGAACCGACAATATACTGGTTGAAATCCAAGTGTTTTAACCAGTAAGTTACAGTTCCTCTCCTATATGTTTTAACAAGTTAGAAACATAGAGTTTTAAAAAAACTGGTGTTTTATTTGTACTAAATTCTGTTGTCATTTGATTTTGAATAGAAATACATTTTTTCATATTGATGCTTGTGATTGAGTTAGGATATTACTAACGATCATTATCAGTAGAAGAATAGCATTTGACATAAATTTTCTTTACGTATGTATTCACTAGACTTTTGATATATTCATTCATATAATTTCTCTTAATCTCAAAATTATTTGAAAACTTAAGTTTTAAATTATTTCTATACACGACTTTGTGATTTAGTCATATTCATGATGTTATCTAATATGATGAGATGAATTTACACTCCTTTCTGGAACCGAATACAGGACTTACAGGTTTCTCAGTGTACGCTTACTATTTAGTTGGAGCCTACTCCTCTACATTTCTAACTTTAATCAATATCCGTTGCCACCTAGCACATATAAATGGGAAATTTCATAAAATAAAGATTTCATATATTAATTTAAAGTCGATCCTTGTTGACAACGTCGGTAGACATCATTGAGGAGCTACTTATTAAGAAGAAGGATCTGTCCAATATTCCCCAACCCTTTTAATAGTACCCCACCTTGAATCAATCTGTGATGAATACAGTGTGCAAACAGATAAATTTACAAAATCAATAGACGGTTTTTTCTTCATTTTTCTCATCCATTATTTAAATTTCTTAGATTACACTATACTATTTCTATTCGTTCCCTAGTTGTTGTTGTTTTTTATCACTACCTTATTTTTTTAGTTTGGACTTTTGTATTATTAAATATACCGAATTTTCTATGATATTAATCAATTATCTTTGTATATGAGTAAACTTATGATCATACTGATAATATTTCAATCAATATCTCTTGTCGTCATGTTATCTCATTTAGATTAGCGACAAAAAAATGGATAGTAACTAAGTAACTAAGTAATTATGTAATATTTTTCTTTAAATCTTATGATATTCTTTCAATAAATAGTAATTTATATAAACTAAAATGTGAAAACAGTGTTGAATAACTAAACTGATCAATGAATCCGTTTTTAATAATTGATAAAGTAATATATGTATTAATCCATTATGGAGATTGTTGAGTATCATATGATTTGCATTGAAATATGGTTGCAAGTAATTCAAAGCTTTTAAAAAAAATGTAAACTATTGAATGATAACTAAGTAGTTTTATACTAAAGTGATCGGCATAAAGTTAGAAAGTCCTGAATTCGATCAGCTTATGATAAGATGGTAAGTTTTTCTTTACTAAGGAGTACCATATTACAATGAAATAGCTCTATAGTAGTTCTTGGGTTTTGATGTCTGTTTAACAAGATCAATCCATGATGGAAACTATGAAATTATACGAATTATTTTGCTTTTGAATGGTTCTATACAGACATGGAGAAAATTCTAGTAGTATACTTTGTAGATATTTACCTTGTTATAAAAACAACTCAATA